AGTTAATCGGGATTTGGTTTCTGACACAATGGATGAGTCAAGGCAAACCCAAAGGGATTCAGATCGTAGAGCTGGGGCCGGGAAGGGGCACATTACTTGACGACATGCTTCGTGTAAATGAATTTTCACTGTGAACTGTGTGATGTTGTTTTTCATAATATATAAAAAATTTTGTTTGCAACTTCAGGCAATGTCGAACTTTAAAGAATGCTATGAGACAATAGATGGCGTGCACCTGATAGAGATAAGCCCAGGAATGCGCAGAATTCAGAGGCTAAAGCTATGCGGGAATGCAGAAAACGTACGTAAAGATAATGTCGAAGTTGTCTCTCGAGAAAGTGACGGATTAAAATTCTTTTGGCGTGATTCGATTGAAGAGATTCCGGGTAGATGATGTGATGAAACTTGATGAAAACAACTTTTTCATTTCACAAATGAATTTTAAAATTCACACCTTTTTCTAGGGCGGTGGTCCATTATTGTTTCTCATGAATTTTTCGATGCGATGCCGATCCACAGATTTGAGGTGAATCGCATGAACTGATGCACAAATTTAAAAGCATTTGCTTCTCGACTATTTAACTTGATTTTTTTAATTCTGACGATGACCCATAGCTAAAAAAAAATGGGTGGCATGAGATCATAGTAGACGTGGATGATTCAGAAGACAGGTGAGCTATTTTTAGGGTTCATGAGCTTATACTATTAATTAATTCATTTCCTTTATTTTTAAACATCAGTCCTCATCACTTTCGTTTTGAATCATCTACGGAGCCCACGTCTCCCGTAGCTTTCACGAATCTTCCGCCACCCGAAAAATTCAAAACCGGTGACCGGATAGAGATTTCGCCCGAATCATGGAAAATTTCCAATCAAATTGCGAAATACATCCATGATAATGGAGGTGCATCGCTTATTATTGATTATGGTAAGGACTTTGTCCAGGGTGACACTTTAAGGGTAAGTTTCACATATAATCATGATGAAAATAATTATTGTCACTTCATTGTCATTGCTTATTATTGTTTTTGTGGTTCGCGTTAGGCGATCAAAAGGCACAAATTTATTCATCCTTTGTGTTCACCCGGCCTTGCGGATTTGAGTGCAGATGTAAATTTCCGGGATCTCAAGGAGTCCGCGAAAGGACTAGGTAACACAATGATTGCAGTTCATGATCTTCTTTCTTCCTAGAACAATCATCAATTCTTTCCACTTATTGAACAGTTAACACATACGGACCGATTACACAGTCAAAGTTTCTACAAACCCTTGGCATAAAAACCAGATTATCGATGTTACTCGAGAATGCTCCGCCTAACAGACGTGAGATACTGGTTTCATCATACAGAAGACTTATTGATCCTCTGTCAATGGGTGAAATCTATAAAGTATTGGCATTTATTCCCAAAGGATCTACCGGGGTGCCCGTTGCCTTTGAGTAAATGAAACATTTTGACTGACAATAACTAATAGAATAAACATTGAAATTTGCTATTATTTTGATTATGACAACATGAACCATGATTAATGGGTGCGATCCCAAGATTTAAATCACGCGTCTGACTTCTTTCATGATCGCTCGTGCCAACAATGGTGGTACCGAATTACCAACTACATACGTATTATGGAGAAGAAAATTTTTCTTTTTTAAAATTTCGAGGCGCTGAAAATTGTAATTAGGATGACTTACCTTGCCTATACTGTGAATTAAGATCCCCTTTAAATACATAGGAGTCCGGAAAACTTTGCAACCGTGCGGATTCTCGCGGCGAAATGTGACGAAATTCAGTGGGATGGATGTTGTCCCAACCCGGATTAATGGTGCACAACACGGTAGACGGAATCTGATCAAGTTTTAATCGTCTCAAATGGTAAGGAACGGTTTTTAGGTAATTCATATTTGGCGTTGTTGTCGTTAATCCTGGATCCAGATGTGATTTTTTTTTTTCTGATTAAATATCGTTTATGATAGATTCATTCATTAATACATTAGTTCACCTCGAAATACCGCATTCACTGTTGGCGTCGGAACACGACCCATTGCAATATGGTTTGCACTGGTTTGCACCGAGATTTCACCATCAATAAAGTGAGTGGGCTTAGGCCAGTTCGGAAGATTTGATTCTGTTGGCACAGCCAACAATATAAATCTTTCTCTACGTTGACAAACACCAAAATCGGACGCTTTCAAAATTTTCGTTTCGACTTTGTAGCTTTGTTTATAGAATCTTGTAAATAAAAATCTTCTGACTTTGTAATATCCAAACAAACCAAACCAATTCAACTCACCCGACATCCATCAAATCGCTGATGAATAATTTATACATCTCATCACTTTTCTTTCGGTTACAAAATCCTTTCACGTTTTCGAACACCAAAACCTTTGGCCTTAAGACATTCACTGCCCGAGGAACGTTCATCACCAGAACCATATTCGTCGT